ATTTAGACCTCTTACAGAGAAGTGGCATGATTTATTATTTTTTGCACATGCAAAGAAGATTGCTTTATGATTAAATTTACAAGAAGTGGTATACCTAAAAAAACTTATCCATTCATTTGTTTCTACATTGTTGCAATTATGTTTTTTTTTCTAAATTCAATTTGACTAATAAAAATGCATAATGCATGTTGATTTTATAACTACATACAGTATACATAAATCTTTCTTTATATTGCTGCATTTCTTTAATTTTACGATTTATGATGAGATTATTTGTCAAAATTAAATAGTCAAGTGATTTGCATTGGATATTGGATACATGGAATTTATTTTCTATTTTTATGTCTTTATTTAATATATTTTTTCTTAATAAATAAATATAAAATTCTTATACAAATATTCAAAAATGTAAATGACACTGTATTTAATATCCTTCATAAAAGTTACTAAAATTCTAAATAGATATCTATTCACTAACCACAATCCAGCTTGATTAACTATTATATAAACTTAATTCCATTTATGTAACAAGATACAAGCATAAATGGGAAAAGGGTTTATAAGTATATATATATATATGTTAGATATCGGTAGAATTTAAAGTGAATTATTTTAGGTAGGCAGCAGGGGTAAATCACCTTTAGGGCGGAAGTAGCGCCCTTCGTTATATTGAATAGTTATATAAATCGCCTGGTAATAAATCATTACAATAATATTGCCACCAATCGAATATCATAACTTTTCTATTACTCTGGTCGATCGAATCATATTTAAGACTGTACCTTTTTTGACTGACGTTTATTGTCTATTTTAATTAATTACTTCACCAAACAAATGTAAAAACACATTGTTTAATTGTTTTATAAACTAATATTCAATTCATTACAATATTCTATTTTTTGTAAGAATTATACAATTATATCAGTAATTACAGACAAAACGTTTGAATTAAAAAATCACATGATTTATTATAACGGATTTAGACTTTTTTCGCCTAATTTTTAATTATGTAATTAATTATTATCATTTCAATATTAATATTCAAAACGGATTTTGAAAATTTAAATATCTTTTTTACAAAAAAATATTTTAAGCGTTTTCTTTTATGTAGTTTTTTTGTAAACTGATCTACTGAATAGTAAATTAGTCAATTACGAAATGATTGTTTGTACTTGATAATAAATATTTTTTTTTACTTGTACTTAATACATTGTACCCAAATGCGAAACTTTTATTATCACTTTTTAGGTGACATACATGTTACAAATTAGTTGCATCTACTGTCTGTATTTTGTGGTATTTGCGAATTTCATTGATACGATTGATGTAAATACATTTATATTTAATTAATTACATATTTTAATTCCTTGATGGAAAATATGCGCAACATGTGATTTGAACATTTTTCTGTTTTTGTTTGTTTGCAGCTGCTGAATATGATTTGTTGACGGCCGTGAAAATTCCATTCGAGAATCCGAAATTCCAGTACGTCGAGAGCGACGGCTCCGACGGTTTTGCGGCTTTCGGCTTCCTGGCCGGATCCGACATCAAGATTCCATACCGTGGCATCCTGCCGGAAAAACTACCATCCGAGTTTTCGATTCTAGTGAGCGCCAGGCCGCGCCACCCCCGTGGCTACCTCTTCGCCGTGGTCAACCCCAGCGAATCTGTGGTCCAGTTGGGAGTGAGGCTGTCCGTGTCAGGTGGTCGCACTAATATCTCCCTCATCTACACCGACCCCAGCTTCAGGAAGAGCCAAGCCATCGCCGAGTTCAGCGTCAACTGGTTCGTAAACACCTGGACAAAGTTTGCTTTCAGAGTCACACAGGAGAACATCACGCTCTTTTTCAATTGCAACGAGTACGACACCGTAGAGCTACAGAGGGAACCGCTCGAATTAGTGCTTGAGTCGGCCTCTATACTTTACATCGCTCAAGCCGGATCCGTCATTAAGGAGGATTACGAGGTGAGTTCGTTAACTGTTTTCAATTTACCAGTGTATCAGTACAGAATCGAGTAGCGAAACCGATGCCTGAAAATATAAAAAATTCAATGCAATTGAATTTTACAATTTGTAATTTCTTAGATATAAGCGAAAATCATAACTTATATCAAAATGCAATTTAAGTGCGAATACGTAGTATAATAGGCACTTGTCCGTAATGCTCACTCGAATATAATGCGCTCCTGTTTATTATGAATTGCATAAAACTTAATATTTTATTAAAAAGATACGAAAATATTGGTCATTCGCAGTATAATACGCATTCACGTATAATGCATACTCGTATATAATACGCACTTGTATTATTTTTATACATTTTATTAAAAAATTATATAATTATATTTGTTAACAAAACTTAATCTTTTATTATAAAGAAATGACAATAGCAAACATGAGTAGTATTATATAATACGCATTCGTTTATACGCACTCACTCGAGTATAGTGCGCAACTGTATTTATTCAAGATTTTATTGTAAATTGCATAAAACATTTATGAACAAAACTTAGAATTTTGTCTAGTATAAATTGTAGTATAAATTGCATAAAACATTTGTCATCTAAATTTAAACTTTGAATAACAAAATCACGATAATAAGAAATATTTCTGTTTATCATTGTTACAGTTGAATATTCTCAGTTTAATATTCTCAAATAATTGAATATTACCAATAGGTAAAAGTGATTTTATTTTATTCAAATTATCGCTACAAAACTATCTTAATTACGTACTAAATTATAATTGTAAAATATGGTATAAAGTTTTATAAAAAAACTGAATAACCTTTTTGTTGTAAGAAAATAAAATTAAAAAATAAGTGTCATTATCATAATTTTGAAATCTTCATTTGTAGTTATTACGTATTTTCAGAAGTAACTACAATATCTATCGTATATAAGTTTTTCAATGCAAATAATTTTATGTTATAGAAACAAATCATCATATATTATAAGTTAGTGCATTCAATATGCATAGTGCTTGATATATTTTAAAAATCAAATCCCAGTACTAGTTGTTATACAAAGATGCGGTCGGAAGTTTGCAAATTTGCATCATATGTTGTATATTCATAAGGAGGACGATGGAAGATGCATTTCATTAGTTTGATACAGATCCGATTTTTACACATTAACATTTGCATAATCTGATATCTGTCATATAGATGAACTTATTCAAAGTGAAATTATTTTGGTATCACTCATATTATTTACATACTTTTATTGGCTCTAATTTTTATCGTATCATTGAAAACAAATGCATATATTCGTTGCGTAAAATCAATACTTGCATTAATTTAACTATATAAACCTTCTTATAAAGAGATTTTGACACTTGAAGTAAATTACAAAGGACTTTTAACAAGCGTCGTATACCATTGGTCAGGTTTCTTTCTTTGAACCTGAGGCAATGCAAAAATCCATGTAAAAAAGGATACGAAAGGACGAAAATCTTCAGATCACCTAGATCGATAATAGTAGTAGTAGTAGAGTAAAATAAGTTACAACAGGAAGACATACAAATTTAAAACAATATAAATATTTGGATTATTATAGACTTTTCCAACAAATGTAACTTAAATTACATTTGATGAAATATGAAAATGTACGAATACAAACCTTGAGTCTTGAGAAATAATTATAACTATAAAAGTTATAATTATAAAAGTTAGAAAATTGAAATTTTATTATTTACATTTTTGTTAATATTTAAATTATTTCTGGATTTGTTTAAGGACATCTACTTGTAAAACTTGTAAAATAATGTTATTTTCTCACAAATAAATATACGTAAATTCTGTACATACAAAAATTTAATTTAAAACATAATAAAATATAAGTTTTTATTACGTAATAATGTATATTTACGACGAAGTTAAAACTAGTTAGTGTGGTACGTCAAGTTCTAGGAAAATTATTGAGTTACACAGATATGTATTTTGTTCAAGGCCTTTAGCTTAGTTCGAGAAATTGCGCTTGAAGTATTTTCTTGTAATTAGTGATTTCTTACAAACTAAAATAATAATGAGACATAGACGTTCTAAATTATTAAAATACATTAAATATTTAAGTACATTGAGAAAAAATACAGCTTTTTACTTTTGTCTATACGATTTTGACACAATGCTATTATTAATAATTTTGCATCAAATATTGAAAAATGCTTTTTTTGTATAAAGTCAAAGCCTCTTAAATTGATAATATATTTGCATTATCAAAATGTTTAAAATATTTATACATTTTCTCATAGATTTATTTGTATTATTTCTTAACATTTATTTATATATATTTTATGAAATTTCATCCTATGAAGTTAATGTCTTAGATAAGTTTGATTTTTGTATGTGGAAAATACATTTTAATTGTGTAGATTAATTCTTTAGAAAATCATTATATGATTCAAATTGATTCTAGTAAAAATTCTAGTTATATTGTGTCTTGGTAAATATAGAATCAGCAAGTATATCATGTGTAACCTTTCAAAACAGTGTTTTTTTTTGTTCGATTCATTCCGTCTTTGTGTACGGATTGATTAAAGATAAAAGGTAATCTTTGGCTGATGAACCTGCTGATAGTCGACGGAAAGTTTTGCGCTTGGGAAATGAGGGAATCTACGTAAAGCTCTTCTCCCTACGCGCTGCAGTGATAAGGGCCGAGAGGAAGTTTTTACTGTCCAAACAATGAGAGCGTCCGACCCTCCGATTTCTGAATCTTTTATTTCACTCGCAAACTTTTGGCCCGCGGGCCACCGCCTATAATGTAGGTCTTCAGATGGTGATCATCCAGAGAGTATTGTTACTCGTCACTATCTGCAATTAGTTAACTCCTGCTTTCTTCTAGTTCTTCGTCGGCGCTCGGAGGATGTATGCCTCCGACACCGCCACTTCGTTTATGTATAGGAGTGTGTGTGTATGTAAAAGAGTGTGGGTGTATGTGTGGATGCGCAGAGCGTCGGCAGGAATTCGGTCCGCGATCAGGACTAGTCTTCGTTCGTCCTGGCTGCCGTCGCCACACGCCAAAACAGCAGTCCTCCTCCACGTCCAGAAACATGCGCCCGCTTACGAAACCCGCGATCTCCAGATGAGGCTTCTCATCCAGTAGAACAGGAGGACGCGCGCTCTTTCAGTCATAGACTATCCCCGTTGCGTGATATGTGAGTCCCAAAAAAAAAACAAAAACTCTCGGAACGCAGATCTCTTTTCTCTAACTCTGTCCAACCATGGCGATGGTACTTTCGAGTCAGAGCCGCCTCCTGGTGGCTCTGTGTCTTTGCCTCCTCGTGCTTGCCGGTGCTTTGGCCGTCGGCTCCTTCGCCGGATGGTTCCACCAACACGACATCCACGATCCAATACCTGCACGCCTCCGTCAGGTAAAATCTCTTTTTGCCATCGAAACCGCATCATTAGTCTCGCTCCTCCTCATCTCATCTCATCCCATCGCTCGCGATTTATGTCACTCACATTTTACCCCATTTCCCAAATTCATCACGACATTCTATCCATCTCTCTCGTACACATGCTAATAACAGCCAACATTATATACACACACAACATCGAAACAAGAAAACTAAACTTTAACAAACAACACCAACGTTACAGACAAATACCTTATGCAAATAAAAAGTTTTTTTCCATACACACAAACCAATGTATTTTTTTACAATCCCATTACAACATTTTACATTACATTGAAATAAAATACAAACATTACTTATTTTATATAAATAAATAACAATACAAACTAAAAATATTGCAAACATTATTAAAAATTGATTATAACTTTTATATAATATTACATGGAAAGACAGAATGAATGAATTATGTGAACAAAATATAATCAAGCTGTTTTTTAAATTATGGACTAAAAGTATTACAAATGTTATTACAAATTTCTGTCCTTTATTGAAATTGATGACTCCATAAGATAATTATCCACTAACGTAATAAATCTGACCTATATCTGAACTTTCTATATGACTTTTTATTCAAGTTGTTTCTATAATGAAAATACTACTTTTCCATTTAAATTGATTGTGACAATAATCATACATAATAAAGAAACAAAATAGAAATATTGTTTGAATTATGCGAATAAATAACATTTAAGCCATTGTTTTGATTATAAACGATAAATTAGATTATCAATTAATTATAATTAGTTTTACTTTCGTGCAAAATAACAATAAGCAAATAAACTTAATACGAATTTAAGATATTATATAATAAACTTAAATATTCAAATTTGTATAATTTATATTAAATATTAAGATTAGCATTAATTTAAGCCAATAATTCAAATCAGTTTCTTATTAACTAACATATTAGTTTTAATTGAGTTAATATGTAACCTAATTTTGAAAATTTTAAAACTAATTAGATCACAAAATATTATTGATATTATTACATTTCATTTACATGTTGCTGGATTTGGATCGAGTTTTTTTTCTTTTGTATGCATTTTTATATTACTGATGAAATATCATCTAAAATATAAGTTACCCAATAATAACTTGAAATAATTATTATACATTTTTGTATAATAGAAGAGAGTCCAGTTAATTCTTAGTTAATCTATGAGATCAACACTTGTATAGTTAACTTCTCAATAACAAATGTAAATAAAATGAATATTCTTATTGTATTTATTATTCACAAGATTCATAAACCTCAATCAGATTCCACAACGACTAAACAGAAATATTTCTGAAAAGGTAAGATAATAGTTTATTAAAGATTTAATAAAAGTTATCATTTTTTACGAAATTTTATAAAATAAAAATCTTAAATATTTACATAGCAAGGCGGTAATATTGTTTAAAAATTAATACAGTTTGCTTACTGCTTGTGTGTGTGTAATAAAATATTATTTGTATTTATCTATATGAAGTTATCCAACAATTTTTATGATCTATAAAATAAATATTATTGTTATCCATGGCATTAAAGTACGCTGATATCATAATTTATTGATATGTGCTCAAAGAAAGTTTAATTTATTTAAAGAGAAAAGGAAACTAAAAGGACATTAACTGTCCTCAATATTTGATACGCTCGCGTTATTGCGCGATAATTTGCTCCCTCGGCGAAAATAAAATATCGCGCATAAATCGAAAACCGCCCCAGAAGATCTTGTTCAAAAATTAAAATGTATTTGAACTAGTTTCGACTTGGGATGAGTTTTTGGAACCATTCTCTACTCTCTCACTCACACTCTCCTAGGGAATCCTTCCTCCCCATCCTCTGGCTTCCATTTAAATTACTTGCCTCGTGGTTGAGTACATTTTTTTCCCCAACATGTTTCGTACATGAGTGCAGAAGTAAATATCATCACTCGTTAAAAACTAGCGACGACGAGGTTTATTCTAAATTACTCAACGGGTTTAATGATTCCATGCTGCCTCTCCAGTTTGACTTTCATTACAGAGAACATTACATTTTTTTTACTACTTATACCTTCTGTTTAAAGTTGTAAAACTCTATTACCATTTTCTTCTTCTCTTTTTTCCACATTATGATTAACTGTGACTTTTTATCTCTGTAGATTATAGTTTTAGCATGAAGTTTATGTATCAAAATATTTCCATTTATTCTTATATAACTGTAAAATATAAATAAATTATAATTTAATATTTTTTTAATAATAAGGATAATAAAAAGTATATTTTGTTTGACATCTGAGTTGGCATAAGAAGCCGCACATATCGTTATATAAGAATATTTATATCCTAGAATTTCAAAAACAAAATCAGGGATACAGAAGTGATAACAATTTTTGACCGCAAAGTTGGGAGCTGCACTTTCTCGTCACAAGAGCCGCATACGGCTTAGATTGCTCTGCTTCAGACCTAAATAAATGAAAAAAGAAGCAAAACTATTATTACTGGGTGGCTAATACACATGTATTTGAATGCATTAAGCAATGGACTTATTACACAATTACCATATAGGAGTAAATGGGAGGCATGAACTCATTTGAGTACGGTGAGCGTTAATTGCCAAAGATTAAAACCTATTTATTATTTGATAACTGCGTAATTCTAACGCAACGATAACAAATTAAATATTTCGCACTATCCAGGCCTTCTTTCTAATTAACTTTAGTTGTTCTTATGTAATAAACAGACATTGTCAAGTGGTTTCTTGCTCAATATTATCTTATAAATTAAGGTGGACATTAACGTTAAGAAATCTAATTTGAAACCCATATATTTTTTTATATTTAATTTGATTACAATTTATGTCTCATTGAGTTTACTCGTAATTTATCATGTATACTAATCATGACATTAAGAGTTTTCTTTTTCTTATTTTATTTTTTCTTATTCACCACAGAAACAAATCTCAAATAAATCAGCGTTTCTCGACATTGTTGCTGTGCGACCCAACATATTTATTTGTAGTTGTACTGCGATCTTATTGTTTATAACATAAAATTTCACTAGTTCCTCGCTAAATTGGTAAAGAATCGTTGATTTAAATAATGAAGATTACACATTCCTACTTCTTTTACAAAAACATATATAAAGACAATGAAAATTTTATGGATATTTTCACATGATTTCTAACAAATTATTTTCGGTTGAATTCCTTAATAATGTTAAATTAAAATTAATGCTATATTATGAAACATAAATAAAAGTATAACAAAGACTACATACAGTAATTAAAGTAATTCATTTTTTAAAACTTTTTTAATTAGTTCTCTTTCCAATTTTAAAAGTATGTCAAACTAGTTGAATGTGAACCCTGAATGGCCTAATTATGTTTTGCCTCAGGAGTAAAATCTATATAGAAAAAAAGTTCAAATATTGATTTATTTCCAAAAGTTTTTTTTTCGACATCTTTTATATCTATAGGTAGTTGGGACTCAAAATGTATCATTTCATCCATTTTTGTATCTTCAAATACTTCATCGAGGCCTTTTATAATACAAACTTGAAAGGAAATTTTAGTAGAACTTCAATTGTTGGACATACTTAATTTCAAATTCTGAATCATCAGTATGACTATTGGGAAATAGCAATACCGCGCTTAGTACGGATAATGGGTTCCGGCAATATTTATCTATTAACCGGACTAATCGAGCAAATTTTGTGTTTTTAGAATTAATTTGTTCTATTAAAATTTAGTTTGTTTCAAAATTTTCAAACCGGACTATTGTGAGGTATTACTGTACAAGTTTCAAATCGTTGCGTTTTAGTTTTATTATGTTCGTAAAGCGAATTATCGGGAAGCAATTTAAACTGTATTCCTTTTTAAATTTTCTTTGCTTCTTAGTTATTCAAGAATGTTTTTAAGAAGGTATAGATGATTGAATCTATTTATATATAAATATACATATTTTTAAAACACTTCAGTTATAATACACTTTAGATATAAAAGGAATTCGAAAACCTAATGGAAATTTGTTGTCAAGAGCAATTGTAGATTTTATTAGTATTATATCAAAAACATCAAAGCAATTTTGAAAATAGATTGTTTTTAAAGCTTGGATCCTTTAAGTTCTAAAAACATGAACATTTCACTTTTCATTTGTACTTGCTTCGATCAGTACACAAAATTAGTCTCCTTTAGTTCATTTACAAACAGAAATAGATGTTTTATGATTATTATATTTTATTAATTAATTTTCTAGTATTTCCATATTTACACCACTTTTTTCTTGATTTAGTTTATAAATTAACTTATTATTTTTTACTGTATTTAATTTATTGATTAGATACTTTGATTAATTAACTAAAATCAATGTGATTGATCAAATTAACATGTATAATGTTATTGTGTTTGTATTATAATCATAGACGTGATCAAATAATATTGTTTAGATACAAATCGATACTTCGTGCACTTCACTATTTGCATGCACTTGTATCGTAAAACATTAGTACTTAGCCGATGAATGATGTATGGAAATGCGTTTTAAATTTGCCTACGTGTCTCCTCCGTTCATCATCCGATGATTTCGTTCCGCCTCGCAACGCTCCTATACTATTTTGTTGCTATTATTATGATTGGTGTCATTTGCATCGCAATATTTCGCCCTTGTTGCGCTGCATTTTCACAGACGAAGGAACGTTCGAATTCCACTTGCAATTCTTCGGGACTTCCCTTCCCGCTTTTGCTGAAAATTTTCACCAACAGCGAAGTTAGTAAATATTCAGAAGCGGAACGGAACACAAAGTTTGCCAACAAAATTTATTCGATTCAACGGTAAAATTGTTAACATTACTGTAAGCCTTCACGCAAAATGAAATATAATGTTTGTCAAATGCGAACATCTTTTATTTGTTCTTGTTTTCTTCATCGTAAAATATTTAGTTAAATTTTAACATATTTTAAAATTCAAGAAATTATTTATATCAGCGATTAC